GTTATGCCAGTTGACCTAGATGGCCCCCACAACCATGGTCCCCAGCCCTCAGCCCCAGTAACTCAGTCCGTCAAGGTGTTTGACTGTGTCTATGAACCTTCTATGACTTTGCTTTGGTCAAGCTGTGCTGACTTCCCCTATATTATGTACTGTCCTTCCTTTTGCCAAAGTTAACACTTATCTCCTATCTAGTTAAGGATTTCCCCTCCCCGACCCTTCCTTTCCTCTTAACCATCAAAGAGTGTTTCTTTCTGTATGTAAACCTTTTCTTGAGTTTTTATAATAGTGGTCTCATACAGTATTTGTCCTTTTGTGATTGAGTTATTCCACTCAGCATGATACCCTCCAGATTCATCCATGTTGTGATATACTTCCCAGATTCATCACTGTTCTTTATCTTTGAGTAGTATTCCATTGTGTGTATGTACCATAATTTGTTCATCCATTCATCTGTTGATGGGCACTTAGGTTATTTCCATCATTTTGCTAATGTGAATAATGCTGCAATGAACATGAGTGTGCATGTCTATTCGTGTGACAGCTCTTATTTCTCTAGGATATATTACTAGGAATGAGATTACTGGATCATATGGTATTTCTATTTCTAGCTTTTTAAGGAAGCACCATATTGTTTTCTATAGTGGTTGTACCACCTTACATTCCCTCCAGCAATGCATAAGAGTTCCAGTCTCCCCACAATCTCTCCAATGCTTCTTATTTTCTTTCTTTCTTTTTTTTTTTTTTTTGATTAGTGCCAGTAATGTTGGGGTGAGATGGTATCTCATTGTAGTTTCAATTCGCATTTCTCTAATGTCTAGTGAGAAACCCTTGTTGCCTAGTGGTTAAGAGCTATGGCTGCTAACCAAAAGGCTGGCAGTTCAAATCCACTAGGGGCTCCTTGGAAACCCTATGGGGGCAGTTCTACTCTGCCCTGTAGGGTCACTATGAGTCAAATTGACTTGACGGCAGTGGGTTTGGTATTTTTTGGTCTAATGTCTAGTGATGGCGAGCATTTCTTCATGTGTCTGTTAGCTTGGATGTCTTCTTTGGTGAAGTGTCTGTTCATATCCTTTGCCCATTTTTAAATTGGATTATTTGTCTTTTTGTTTTTGAGGTGTTGCAGTATCTAAAAGATTCTTGAGATTAGACCCTTGTTGGATATGTCATAATCAAAATTTATTTTCCCCAGACTGTAGGTTCTCTTTTTACTCTTTTGGTAAAGTCTTTTGATGACCATAAGTGTTTAATTCTTCAGCTCTTTCTGAAAAACTACTGAAAGAACTGAGCTAAAAATTCAAGCCTCGAGTTGCAATACTGAAGGATTCTGTGGGGGAAATAGTAAATGATGCAGAAAGCATCAAAAGAAGATGGAAAGAATACACAGAGTCACCATACCAAGAAGAACTGGTCAACGTTCAACCATTTTAGGAGGCAGCATATGATCAGGAACCAATGGTACCAAAGGAAGAGGTCCAAGCTGCTCTGAAGGCATTGGCAAAAAACAGGTCTCCAGGAATTGATGGAACCAGTTGAGATGTTTCAATGAAGAGATGCAGCGCTGGAAGTGCTCACTCACCTATACCAAGAAATTTGGAAGACAGCTACCTGGCCAACTGACTGGAAGAGATCCATATTTATGCTTATTCCGAAGAAAGGTGATCCAACTGAATGCAGAAACTATCAAACAATATCATTAATATAACACGCAAGTAAAATTTTACTGAAGATCATTCAAAAGTGGCTGCAGCACTACATTGACAGGGAACTGCCAGAAATTCAAGCTGGATTTGGAAGAGGACATGGAACCAGGGCTGTCATTGCTGATGTAAGATGGATGCTGGCTGAAAGCAGAGAATACCGAAAAGATGTTTACCTGTATTTTATTGACTATACAAAGGCATTCAACTGTGTGGATCATAACAAATTATAAATAACATTTCTAAGAATGGGAATTCCAGAACATTTAGTTGTGCTCATGAGAAACCTGCACATAGATCAAGAGGCAGTCATTCGAACAGAACAAGGGGAAATTGTGTGATTAAAGCCAGGAAAGGTATGTGTCAGGGCTGTATCCTTTCACCATACGTATTCAATCTGTATGCTGAGCAAATAATCTGAGAAGCTGGACTATAAGAAGAAGAACGGGGCATCAGGTTTGGAGGAAGACTCATTAACAACCTGCGTTATGCAGATGACACAACCTTGCTTGATGAAAGCAAAGAGGATTTGAAGCACTTACTGATGAAGGTCAAAGACTACAGCCTGCACTATGGATTACACCTCAACATAAAGAAAACAAAAATCCTCACAACTGGACAAGTAAGCAACATCATGATAAATGGAGAAAAGATTGAAGTTGTCAAGGATTTCATTTTACTTGGATCCACAATCAACACCCATGGAAGCAGCAGTCAGGAAATCAAAAGACACATTGCATTGGGCAAATCTGCTGCTAAAGACCTCTTTAAAGTGTTGAAAGGAAAAGATGTCACCTTGAAGACTAAGGTGCGCCTGACCTAAGCCATGGTATTTTCAGTCGTATCATATGCATGCGAAAGCTGGACAATGAATAAGGAAGATCGAAGAAGAATTGATGCCTTTGAATTGTGGTGTTGGAGAAGAATATTGAACATACCATGGACTGCCAAAAGAACGAACAAATCTGTCTTGGAAGAAGTACAACCAGAATGCTCCTTAGAAGCAAGGATGGTGAGACTGTCTCATATACTTTGGACATGTTATCAGAAAGGATCAGTCCCTGGAGAAGGATATCATGCTTGGTATAGTAGAGGGTCAGCGAAAAAGAGGAAGAACCTCAGTGAGATGGATTGACAGTCGTTGCAACAATGGGCTCAAGCATAAAAACGATTGTGTGGATGGCACAAGACTGGGCAGTGTTAACTTTTGTTGTACGTAGGGTCTATATGAGTCGGAACTGACTTAATGGCACCTAACAACAAGTGTTTAATTTCTAGGAGCCTCCAGTTATCTAGTTTAACTTTTGGTGTTTGTGCATTTCTACTTATGATTTATATCCTATTTATGCCATGTATTAGGGCCCCTAGTGTTGTCTCTGGTTTTTTTCCCATGATCTTTATAGTTTTAGGTTTTATATTTAAGTCTTTGATCCATTTTGAATTAGTTTTTGTTTATGGTGTGAGGTATGGGTTCTGTTTCATTTTTTTTACAGATAGACATTCCCTTTTGCCAGTACCAGTTGTTAAAAGAGACTGTCTTTTCCCTGTTTAATGTATTTTGGCCTTTGTGAAAGATCAGCTGACCATGGGTGGATGGATTTATGCCTGGATTCTTAATTCTGTTCTGTTGGTCTACTTTTCTGTCGTTGTACTAGTATCAGGCTGTTTTGACTACCGTGGCTGTATAGTAGGTTATGAGATCAAGTAATGTGAGGCCTCCTATGTTGTTCTTTTTCAATAATGCTTTACTTATCCAGGACCTCTATCCTTTCCATATAAAGTAAGTGATTAGTTTTTCCATTACATTAAAGAATGCTGTTGGTATCTGAATTGAGATTGCATTATATCTGTGGATCCCTTTGGGTAGAACTTACATTGCACAACCTTGAGTCTTCCTATCCATGAACATGATATGTTTTTCCATTCATGTAGGTCTCTTCTGATATCTTGCTGTAGTGTTTTGTAGTTTTCTTCGTATATGTCTTTTGCGTCCCTGCTTAAATTTATTCCTAAGTATTTTTTTTTTTGCAATTATAAATAGTATTGTTTTCTTTTTGAAACAGTATTGATTTCCTTTTTGAAGTTCTCTTTGTTGGTGTCTAGGAATCCAACTGGTTTTTGTATGTTGATTTTGTATCCTGCTACTCTGTTGAATCTATTAGTTCCAGTTGTTTTCTTGTGGAATCTTTAGGGGTTCTCTATGTATAGTAAGTATCATATTATCTATGAATAAGGATGGTTTTACTTCTTCCTTTCCAATTTGGATGCCCCTTATTTCTTTTTCTTGCCTTATTGCTCTAGCTAGGACTTCAGCACAATGTTAAATGGGAGTGGTGATAAAGGGCATCCTTGTCTTGTTCCTGTTCTCAGGGGGAATGCTTTCTGCCTCTCCCCATTGAGAATATTAGCTGTTGCTTTTGTATAAAACCAAAAACCAAACCCATTGCTGTCGAGTCGATTCCAACTTATAGCAACCCTACAGGACAGAGTAGAGCAGCCCCATAGAGTTTCCAAGGAGCGCTTGGTGGATTCAAACTGCCGACCTTTTGGTTAGCAGCTGTAGCACTTACCACTATGCTACCAAGGTTTCCTTTTATTATGTTTAGGAATTGCCTTCTATTCCTATTTTTGCTGAGAGTTTTTATCAGGAATGGGTGTTGGACTTTGTCAAATGCTTTTTCTGTATCAATTGAGATCATTATGTGATTCTTTTTGTTTTATTTATGTGGTGGATTACATTGATTGATTTTCTAATGTTGAACCATCCTTACGTACCTGATATGACTCCTACTTGGTCATGGTTTTTTTTTTTTTTTTTTTTTAATGTGATGCTGAATTCTGTTGGCTAGAATTTTGTTTAAGAATTTTTGCATCCATATTCATGAGAGATATTGGTTTGTAATTTTCTTTTTTTGTAGTGTCTTTGTGTGGCTTTGGCATCAGGGTTATGCTGGCTTCATAGAATATTCCTTCTTTTTCTGTGCTCTGAAATAGTTCGAGTAGTACTGGTGTGAGCTCTTCTCTGAATGTTGGTATAATTCTCCAGTGAAGCTGTCCAGGCCAGGGCTTTTATTTGTTGGGAGTGTTTTTCTATTACCTGTTCGATCTCTTCTCTTGTTATGGTCTGCTCAGATTTTCTATCTCAGTTTGTGTTAGTTTAGGTAGGTAGTATGTTTCTATAAATTTGTCCATTTCCTCTAGGTTCTCAAATTTGTTGGAGTGCAATTTTTCATAGTATTCTGTTATGATCCTTTTTATTTCAGTTGGGTCTGTTGTAATGCCTTTTCATTTTCTTGATTGCAGATACCTATGAAAAAGGAAACTATTTCTTGGCAAACTTTACAGCAGCTCAGGTAAGACTATTTTTTGAATGTTATAAATCCTTTCCCAGTTAGCTACAGATTGTTGTTGTTGTTAGGTGCTGTCGAGTCATTTCTGACTCAGTGACTCCATGTAACAGAGTAGAACTGCCCCATAGGGTTTTCTAGGCTGTAATCTTTATGGGAACACATTGCCAGTCTTCCATGGAGCTGCTGGGTAGGTTTGAAATGACAACATTTTGGTTAGCAGCCAAGTGCTTAATGGTTGTGCCACCAGGGCTCCTTAGCTACAGATTAGCCATTATCAATTAACAGTATAAATATAATATCCCACATCTTAACAGGAGTCCCTTCTACTTGCACTGTTACAATTCAGATCTGTTGACATTAAAATAGGGGTTGTGTGTTATGCAGCATTATTGTGCGATAGATAGCTGATATAGCATTTACCCTTCAAAAGTTTATCAGCCAGAAAATGCTGTCTCATCCCCAGAAAACATATAATATGTTTAAGGACCAAATTTTCCCCAGCATCATAATTCCCTAGGTCTCCCGGAGTTCCATGTCCTTCCTAAGTCCTTCCCACAGGAATTTTTTTCCTTTCTCTGAACACCCATAGCAAATATTCCCTGTGACTTTCATTTGGACCTTACTCAGGTGCCACTTCATGATGATTCTCCCAATATTTTAAACTTTGTATTAATAAAGAGGATCCCTGGTGGTGCAGTGGTTAAGTGCTAAGCTGCTAACTGAAAGGTTGATGGTTCAAACCCACCAGTGGCTCTGTGGGAGAAAGATGCGGCAGTCTGCTTCTGTAAAGATTACCCATTGCCATCGAGTTGATTCTGACTCATACAGCCTTGGAAACCCTTCAGGGCAGTTCTGCTGTGTCTTATAGGGTCACTGTGAGTTGGAATTAATTCAACAGCAATGGGTTTGGGTTTTTTATTGCTACTTGAGCAGTTCATGGTTTAGACAAATTGTTGCAAACTGTCCTGAGTCTAGGAACTGTTTGTGCACTTTATATTAAGTCACACGATACTATGCACATGGGCCCCTCATGATTCAAACACTATGTCATTTAGCCACTTCATCCCCCAGGTCTTCCGTTTCTTTATCTGTAAAAAAAAGGGTGATAATGCCTTCTTTTCAAAATCGCCATAAGAATTAGCAGTAATATAGGTAAAGTGACTTTCATAAGGCTGGTACATACACCTATTTTTTGTCATCATCAAACTTATTAAAGACATACTCGGGTAGTGTGTCTTCATGAAGTGTTTATTAAACACCAGCAAATCAGTACAACAAAAGTATTTGAGCTTTCTTAGCATATTAAATTGGAGCATAGTCTGTTAATATGTGAATTACGTATTTTTTTCTCTTTAAAAATCTTTTATAGGATACCTTGCAGATCCAGACCATACACAATAACTATCTGAATGACTCGAATCCACTGAAGGTTGGCTATATTAGGATCTGGGGGATGAAATCTGCTTATGTGACAGAAGTCAGGGTCAACCATGACAACAAGCAATTTGTGGAGACAAACTTCAGGAGTAACCCTGACAATCAGGTACATCTCCAAGGAATGGCATCACATCATAAGAGAATTTGATTCGTCTGCAAAATTAGTGTCACCATTACAATCATCATTTTTACTCATATTGGGAATGTTAGAGATACGTGCAATAGATATATTCCTGAAAAGTGGCGAGTGTTGAGTCACTATTGTAAAATGTACAATATTCGTGGTCTTCTGCATGTAGTCCAGATATCAATAATCTATGTTCTGAGATCAATAATCAATGTTCTGGTGAGGTCCTCTCGTGTTTCCCAAAGAAATTATGCTGTGTATTAAGGTTGGACTCCCAGGCCAGCATAATAAAGCATAGTTACTTCTCTTGCAGATACTAAAACAAAGGAGAGAATGATTCCTAAGAAATCAAAGAAGTTGTGGGATTTTTCTCCCCTTCTTCCTGTAATTACTCTTATCCCTAGTCAAACTGGTGGATCTTATAGGTTGGTGATAACTGACAGTAAACTGTGATAATCAGCAATGAATATGTCCCACCTGCGGTGTGAGATTAAACTTCTCTGGTTACCAAAGTAGAGTGACAAAGCATATCCTACTAGTAGGTCTGCTGTTAGTTATGAGAGCCAACCAAACAGCATCTACAAACCAGCATTTCGGAAGGTCATTTACTAGTAGTTACCAAGGGCAACCACAGAGAGAAACAAATCCTGCTTTACAACACAAGACTGATCATAACTCTGGATCCAGTGGCCCATAGGAGGTGGTTTAGAAAACTGAAAATGGATGGCTACAGTTGATTTCCTAAAAGGAATGCAGGGTGCCCTATTGGTATTTGGATTTTGGAAACTAACCCTTTTAAGCACTCACATAGATCCTGTCTCTGTAGTACCTTCTAGTTCTCTACTTCAAAACAGTTGTCCTGGACTATTGGGTCCACAAACACCATTTTCAAGTGATTGCTTGTACTTGAGACTGATTCAGAAAATATTTGAACACTTTCTTTTTGGGAAACTCTATAACATAGCAGATATCTGTGAATTACATGCCATGCACTATACTTGGCATTGGGGAAAGTAAAACATGAAACCAGCCTCCCTTAGGGAGGGTAAAATCCAATGGCAGAGAAAAGAGAGTTTTGTAAACTTCAGTTTTAAGCAAAGCTGTAAAAATTGTGAACAATGTGATTCTGATTCAATGGAGTGGAAAGAGATTTCCGGTATGGGGATTTTGAACATGGTGTATCTCCCCACACTTATCTGACTGGAATCACTGTGGCCTTAAAGTCATGTTTGTATCCTTCTGTTGCTCTCTTGAAGAATGAATACACCATTTTATGTTAAGTTGTAATGTGAGGTGTGATTTAAATGTGATGTTTAAGAAGTTCTAAAATACCATTTTTTTTGTCTTCTTTTCTGGCAGACACTAACCATTCAACTGACTGACAAGATTATTCACCTGGAAAAGTTAACTGAGGTTACTTGGATTCATGGTGACCCTGTAGTTACTACTTCACCTATGACAAGTACCTTTCCAATGAGTCCTCATCCTTCTCCATCAACTACTAAGGCTACCACTTATGAGACTTTTAATACTAGTTCTGCTGGTACAAGTACTGATGCTCCTAGCACTAGTACTGTTTTTATTACAACTATTCCTTCCCTGACAACTACTGCTACTGTTAGCACTAGTACTATTGTTCCTGACACCATTACTCCTTCCTCTGCAAGAACTACTGAAGATAGCACTAGTATTACTGTTCTTATTACAACTCTTTCCCCAAGAAGTACTACTGATGTTATCACTAGCACTACTAATACTACTGTTTTGAATACAACTCTATTCCTGACAAGTACTACTCATGCTTATAGTATGAGTACTTCTGTTTTGGACACAACTGATCCTTCCCTTATAAGTACTACTGATGCTAGCATTGATACTACCTTTTCTAATACAACCACTCCATTCCTGACAAATACTACTGATGCTGGCACCAGTACTGCTATTCTTATTACAACCCCTTCTCGTATAAGTACTGTGGATGCTAGCACTGATACTACTGTTTCTAATATAACTACTTATTCTCCTACAAGTACTACTGATGCTAGCACTAACACTACTGTTTCTAATACAACTACTCCTTCCCCTACAAGGACTACTGATGCTAGCACTAA